ATTTTTATAATTTTTCCCCTTTTTTTCTGGATTGAATCCCTTTTTTTTTTTCCTTTTTTTTTCTTTCTTTCTTTTGGATGAAGGGAGATGAAGGGGGATAAGAAGGGATTCGCCAGCAACAGACAAAGAAAAAAAGAGCAAAGAAAAAGAAGAAAAAAAAAAAAAAAAGGAAAAAAGAAAGACCCAACCCTACGAGAGACGCAGCTGGCTAACAACTTCCTGCACTAGTAACTCCTGAATACTACGCATCTTCCTTCCCTGTTGTTGACGTGACGGACTGGGGAAATGACTGCCGCCTGTCTGCCTCAGGGAGGTGGTGGAAGAGCTTTTCTCCTGCGGATTAGTCTTTTCTAAATCATTTGGGGGTGAAGAACCCTGCCGTCCCACAGAAAGTGCCTGCGTATGATAAACACAGTCATTCCGGGAACTTCGCGTGGAATTCCCTGAATTCCGCAAACCGTTTGTCTTTGAGCACATTAATGAAGGAAACGACAAATTTTGCGTCGGTTGTGGAGAATTTGAGGTGCCATTCAAGTTCTTCACGCTAACGTTACTATTGGCACCGCTACGGGCTGTACTACAGGTGCTGCTTTTATTCATGGAAGCGACGGATTCGTGTGAAAAAAAGTTAGGCACATCACTCTTCTCAACTGGGTCCTCCGTGCCAGCAAAGGAAATTTTTCTCGGCATAGGAACAGTCAAGCATCTCGAATTCTGTGAACGCACATAATGGCTAGTTATACCGGATGACCCACCGCTGGTTCCCGCACTCGCAAGAGGCTGCAGCTTCAGCACTACCGGAGAGCACAAGGAGGACGCGGGCAAGACTTCAATTCCTCCTTTAAGACTATTCTTCTGAAGCAAGGCACATGGACGCTTTGCTGTCTCATGGGACCCGCCCACGCTATGCACTGGACAACTTCTCCACGTGTTTGGCAGAATGCATGGAATCGATGGCGTATGATTAGGCGATCCATTCGAGGCAGTCTTCAAAGAAGAAGCACGAGAAGCGACAGTGCCTGGAGACATGGAAAATACATCAGAGGCCAGAGTTACATTCCATTCTCGAGAAGCATTTGGCCTTTGTGGTGGTGTCAGTTGAGGTCGTGGCTGCAGCGTTAGTTTCGGTGGGCCCTGAAAGCTCATCTCGGCATGAATGATATCATGCATAACAGAGCCAGTGAGGGCCCCAACACGTTCAGCAATAGGAAATAATACAGGCGATTTTCTTGAATGAGATGGACACGGCACCATGGGGTGAGCATTTTGTGCTCCCGTGAGAGGTCTCTGTCCCTGTTGCAGTTGCAATTCTCCAGCGTCCTCCCCAACTTCGCGTTGTTCCTCTTTCCCCTTCTCCGTTCCACCTGTATCGAATACAGACTCCGTAGTGGCAACAGGAGGAGAATCTGTTTTGCCCACCATGTCGGTTTGACCTTCAACGCCCATGGATGACTTCACCCGAAAGGAATCCACCCTCTTCCATGGAGTTCGCCGCTGTTCTCCGCCGACCGTGGCACTACTCTCTTCTTCTTCTTCTGCCTCGTGGGAGCCATGGGGCACCTCCGATTCCTGCATTTCTCCTTTGGCCATTCCCTGTCTCATGTCTTTATTCTTCTTCTCCCGCCACCGATGTTGTTGTCACGTGCCTCCCCGCCCCTTTGGCTTCCAACGGTCGTGCGTCCGCCCTCCTTCGCTTTCCTGCGGCCTGCAACAAAGTGGAAATAATGCGGCCCCCGTGAAACCGGCAGCGGCGGGGAGAGGCGAGCGCAAACAACGTCGATGGAGCGGATGGCGAAGGCAATGAATAAACGCAGTTTGGCAAGACACAGAGGAAACGGGTGGGGGAATCACCAACGCGCAGGCCTACACACAAACACACCAAGGAAGAAGGAAGAAGGAAAAGAAAAGGAAAAAAAAAAAAAAAAATAAACAAAAAAAAAAAAAACAAAACACACTGATGGGAGAAAAAAGAAGGGGAATAAAGACTGCAAAATATAAATAAATAAATAAATAAATAAATAAATATATTTTAAATGGTCGTCCCTCCCTTCCCCCCCACTCTCTCTCTCTCTTTGTGAACCGGTGTTACTCGTCACCTTCCTCGCTGTATAATTGTTTGTGCCCGTCACTATATATATATATATATATATATGTGTGTGTGTGTTCTACGTTTTTGCGTTGCCCCGACAACACGCACACGACGGGTAAAACGAATAATAATAATAATAAAAGCAAAAAACAAACAAACAAAAAAAAAAGCAACTCATCCGTCATCATAACAACAACAACAACAAGAGCACAGCAATCGCAGCAAAGTGCAATAAACAAAATCCCAAAAACAACAACAAAAAACGTCTTAAAAGATTAAAAAGATAAAAAAAAAAAAAAAAAAAAAGGGGGGGGGGGGGGGGGGGGGGG